TCGCCCGTTGGGTTATACAGCTCGTATTATTTTTATAAACACCTATATTCTATGATCTATCCGATATCTTCAAAAATATAGAGTTGAATTTTTTTTTTTATTTTTTTCAATTACATCGATCGGCTACTAGGCCATTAGTTTACATTATACTTATATATAATATATATATATAACAACTTTATTAAGCAGATTGCCAACCTTGAGGGTTGCCAAAAGACACAGTATACATATTCAATATTGATATAAATAATATGATTATTACAAAATTATAAAATTATAGCAAAAAGTTATATATATAAATATAAATACAATTATTATAAAAAAGATAAACTATCTACTAGGTAGAAATGATGAAGATGTAAAAAAAAAAGATAAAAAGAAAGTATTGAGATATATTACTGAAAATGTGCCAGAAATTGGTATAGTCTTACGAATACAAGTGATAGTTTATAATATTGAGTGTATCCTTCAGAATGGACAAACATATTATTTTCACTAGATCAGAAATGTTTAATCCGTGGGTCTTGAAAAAATTTCTCAGAAAACAATTTTCGGTTCCTCAAACATCGAACCAGAAACCCACGAAGTTCCAGTTGTTAATGCTAGCATATTAGCTGGGTCTAATAGTTCGCAGTACATTGGTTATGTTTATATTAGGTTATACTATTGAATTTCCTTTAAGAATGATGTTGATTGTTGTTATTTGATTTGGAGGGCAGTAAACAGTAGTAGGTATTCTTACATACAATGTTTCATATGCCAAAAGCCATAGAGCATTGTTGCCACCCAACAGGGTACCAGGAAGTTGGGAAGTAGTTAAAATAAGAGCCTGTCGGTCTAAATAGCTCTCCATAGTCCATAACAAAATGTTCAAATACAGTATACACTTATATTTAGGAGTATAATAAACAACAAAAATACCTGAAATACATTTTCATATTAAATCCAGTCTCAACTAATAGCTAGAATTTTAAAAATATTGTTATTTTTGGTACCCACTTCTACTATTCTCAATAGAATAAACAATTTATAAGAAAAAAAATCTTTTAAATTATAACAGGCGATTAATTCTCTCACATTTAAATCATTATAAATATCACACAAATATCGCACTATTTATATAAAAAAGTATTTTTTAAATGTACAAGACTCATTTAATAGACCAAAACAAATATAAAAACCAATAATTCCATTTTTTTTCTTATCCCAATTTTAATTTGGGTCTACACCGATTTTGGAAAACATACTATGTACCTACCTACCAAAATAATTTTATACTCCGAGCAATGAATGTATTGATTTTACAATGTGTGTTCTTTTTTTATTTTTTTTTTTAAATTGTTGTGTCTGTGTACACAATAAATAGTCGAAATAATGCTTTGATTTTCAACTTCAGTATCTTGTTCGATGGAGAAGTGAATATTGTTGTTGCATTGAGGAGGTCAACATTTAAAATTCCCAGTAATTTTCAAAAGCTCCGTGAAAAACAAAAGAAAAATTAAAGAAACACTGGAATTTTTACTCAAAAACAATTTTGGTTTTTGGTGGAACTTTAAAACCTGTAATATATCCATTTTCTATAATGATAAAATTTTCAAAATATTTTGATTTGTTTTAAATTGTTTAGGGACATTTTCAGTTTCCAATTTTATTAGTTTTTTTTCTATGAATGTCAATAAAACTTTATTTGTTGAGTAAAATTACTTGAAAAATTTAATACAAGGCTCCTTATAAGATTATCTAACTTTATCAAAAAAAAAAATGTCTGTAAGAAATTCAAATTAAATTTTTATGAGCGTTGAAATTCAAATTTTTACAACATTGGATATTCACTCGATTTCTCATGTAGCGGTTTTCTAATTTTGTTGTAATTCAAAAACTAATGACTGTACATGAAAATTTCACTGAATGTTTATTTTATCAATTCTTACACTTGATAAAATTTTCAAAATATTTTAACTTGTTTTGAGCTGTTTAACGGACATTTACAGTTTTTAATTTTTTTAGTTTTTTTTGAAAGGTCTCAGGTAGCAATTTTTGGTTCAAAAATATTATCATAACATTATACTAATATTATTCGTGATTATAATATTAGTATAACATTATTATTACAAAATGCTACCGGGGGTGGTTTTGGCCTTGAGTGTGTTTGACAAAATTAATGAAAAAAATAGTTTCATTATTTGGATGTACTTTTTTGAATACAAAATAATTTTATTTCCTTTTTTAAATACATATAAAATATCATATATTATTAAGGTGAACTAAAAATATAAAACTATAATGTGATCGAAGATTTCTCTTCTTATGCTCTTCTTCTTAATTTGAACATTGTTTCCTAATTTTTACTTATACGTCTTATTTATAAACTTATTTTCAGATGTTGCACCTGATTTATATTTAACGACTACAAAAGGATATGAAGTGTGGCTTTCTGATTCTGAAGTTGGTGCATTTTTTTTAACCAAACTATCTAATTTCCTGACAATTTAAAGGTTAAAAATGATGGTCAGACAGCTTTCATGGATTTACAACTTTAAGGACGTATGGATCATATCGTGCCTGTTTGTTTTGATACAAAATGTATCAGCAGCGCTATTTATTTTTATGATTCAACTCCTTGGTATGATTTGGAAATAAATTTCCATAATGGTAACAGTGTTTGGGGATTTGTACCACCAATGCCTAATGTACCATACCTAGAAACAATCACAGTGCGGCCTGGTGATTTCAACATGGATAGCTACCCCGATTTATTGTGCACATTGCAGGGTCTTGGTGGCAATACAAAAAAAACAAAAGTAATTTTAATGGAAAATGTTGCTTGTACTACAGATTGTGAAGGGTTTGAGTGTTTGACAGAACTTTTGTCGTTCGATGGGACCTACTTCAGGCAATGTGTGGTAACAATAACAACATTATGGGAGCATTTTATGATTTTTTTCAAAACGGTATACTAGATGTGCTGTTGTTTAGTGGAGGTAACAGAAAATACAATATGTCAGCTTTTAAGAACAGTTTGGATTACGATGCAAATTTTTTGAAATTGAGTACATTTTTAAAAATATTTTTCTAGTATGCTTATCATATTTTGTTATTAATTGTAGGTAATGGTTGTCAGTGGTTTGACAAATAGCCACTACGAAATGTTAACTAATCGATTAGCAAAAAAATCTCGTACATTTGGTGCTAACTTGCCTGGACCAAAAGTTAGTTAGGTACACAAGATGGGTATCCACGTCAAGGTATAGCTACACAGTTACCCCAGTCTGCATATTATTCTCTTTACTTGCCTTAAACGATATTTGGACTTGGGCGTACTCCTAATTTTGTCGATGAACTTACTGTATCAATTTTAAATGAAACCCGTTCGTGGACACAAATTATCCCAAATTCTAAAATAGTTGTAATTCTAAATTCAATAAATGATTCAACTATTCAAGTAGATGGAATGCTTAACTATTTCTGACACCAAGCCGTTTAATATTTCGAAGTGCAGCTGCCCTGGCAGGAACATGCCTACTTATTTTAATTACAATTGGAGTGCTGCACTTTAAAGAATTACAAGAAGATCGCATTGAAAAACGCAAGGAAGCACATAAATTTAATTTTGCTATGTAGATCAAGTTTTTAAAATTATTTTTATGTTCTGTCACTTTGATTATTATTAATTTTTCAATAATAAATAAATACAAAATTCCATTATGTATAAGTAGGTATCTAATTAAAATTTTAATTTTGTTGAAAAATATTAATAAATCTAAATTTAGTCATTTCCACCTACTTTTAATTAAAATAACCAGCTTAATTATTATAAGTTAAAAAAAATAAGGATGGATATGTCTGTACCTACCGATCTGCTGTACATAGAGTGTCGTACGGGTCACTGTACCTAATAGTGTAATGAATGTGTTAAATTTATGTTCAATGACATAAAAGCATTCTGTACAAAAAACTATTTTGAGCAAAGACAGTCTTTCTGCCTCTATTAATAAGTATATTTTATAGTATTATTGCTATTAAAGTAATTTTTTACTGTTAAATATAATAGTAATACAATAGGTTGATTATTTGTTCAACCAAAAAAATCGCATTTGATTTTTCATTGTGTGTATAAAATATAATAATATACTTTAGAAGCTTCTAGTGCCCCAAAATAATATTTTTAAATTACAACAAAATAACCAACACTATTATTCTTCGTTTAAATATTTAATTTTGTCTAAATTTGATAAAATATCTATGAAAAAAACTATGTTTACACATTTTTTTAGAATTTTCTGTTTACAGTACTATGAACTACTAATGAGAAATCTTGTTTCAAATGTTCAATCTACGTCGGGCCGAGGACAATTTGCGACTGCATATCAAGTAGGCAATCTAACTGCAGCGCAGGATTGCGGACACGCCAATGAGAGGCTATAAATGAAATTCAGTCACCTTGGTAAGTTCGATTTCATGAATGCTCCGAATGCTCATTAACCGATGGCAACCATACACAAAATATAAAGCGGGTAAGTGGATGTCGTTCTGCTGTATAGTAGTTTATTAGCAGTTTGATTTCGACTTTTTAGTCTTGTAGATGTGCGTGTATTTTTAACAATGAAATAAGCCGGGTGTTTAATTTGAAGTCTGTCCTTGGTTTTCGAAATCAGTTGTCCTGGTATGGATTTGAGGAGCTATAAAAACGTGTTAGTTTATTAATTATTTGATGTTATTTTAATAATTTCAATGATTGTAATATTTAATATAACTTATATTTTAATTTTTAATAGTACCTATATATGTAGTCAAAACTATAATAATAAATGATTGTAATATAATTAATAATTATGTATGTGCGTATAGTCACGTGTAGATATAGGTACTACATTGACTTTGATGTTATATATTATTAAATTATATAATGAATAATGCTGTATTAAAATATTATATACTATGTTAGTATGGGTGCCAATAGATATATTTAGGTGGATAGCTGCGAGTATTTTCCATTTTCGTTACACGATCCTGACGTCGAATTTAAAGCAGCATTGGTCGTTACTGGGGGCATTAGGTTCGTCGTTCCAGAACTTGAACTTGACTATGTAACTAAACTTAGGATAGTATTTAGGCACGAATAAACTGAACAGCCAAATCTGTTCGGTGTCCTTCACCATGGGGCAACTTGTGTATAAGCATGCGTTCGTGTACATGTCCATAAGTGGGAATTCCAAATCAGGGCTCAACACGGTTCCAACGTATAGTCTTGTCTTTGGTAAGGTCGAACCAAATTCTGAAATGAATTTATAAATATTCAAATGTAAAGAGAAGTAAAAAATCTTAATATTTCAAAATGTATAATATAGCTCCGGTCTAGATGTTCCACCGGACGTTGCCCGCCGGAAAAAGATTTGTATTTGTAAAAAAATGTATACATTTTAAATTTTCACAAAATCGGTTAAGTAGTTACAACATTGTATATTGTTCCAAACTAAATTACAAAAAGAAACATATTATAATATCGATTTTTTTCTGAATATTATGACTTATCGCCCCCTTGATTATACATTGACTTACTAGCGACAAGGTACGCTCAAGAACTACTAGAGAACAGAGTGACTTTACCTAACGCTAAATTGCTATAAGTACCTTGTGGCTTGTACCTATAGTAACTCGAAAATCTCAAGAATGAACTTGAATAAAAAGCGAAAGGTACTTAGATTGTTCCATGTCTATGATGTTATTTATTAAGTTATATTTGTTTAAGTATGAATAAAAATCAATTTTGAATTATTTATCTAATACTTTACCTAATAAGTAATAACTATATCTAATCGGTGAGTATACCTACATTTAATAATTGATAGATTTGTGACTTAGATAGGCATAAACATAATTTAGTCATACCCTGTTAAATAGTCGGATTTCGTGAATCTTTTTTATTATTTTACATTTTTCAGGTTGGATTAAACACCAATTTTTAAAATTATAATTATAGAAGCTAAAGTGCAGTACAATATTTCTTATTTTTCAAACATATTTTTCCAGCACTTAAAGTAAAATGAATATTCGGGATTTTATCCGACCTGAAAAAGTTCCCATCTTTCAAATCAAAAAAATTATCAAAATCCGACATATTAATGAGGCGTAAGAGTTTTTCCTGTGGAGCCAATTTTGTTGATATACTTAATATACCGTATAAACCCCCCTCCCCATAAATAAATATCGGCCAGTAGATTAGTCAAAAAGTGTTATAATTTATAATTAGGTAGCATTAAAGTAGTAACTGAAATATAAAATATAATTTTTAAATTTAGAAAACCGGCACCGACACACTTAAGAAAAATTGAAAAGATTTGGACATAATATTTTTTTATAAGGGTTGAAAGTTAAAATGTTTTCAATTTTCATAAAATTAGTGAAAATTTTCAAATTATTTTGATGTTACAAATTCATAAAATATTTAATAATTAGATTTAAGATTTATAAAGGTGCTCTGCTGTACAGTAGGTTACAAGTGGGTCACTGTATAATGGATGGTATTAAAATTGAATTCAATGATATAATATCATAACCCCCCCCCCCTGCAGGTTATATAACTTGGTCATAAAAATTTTATTTGACTTTCTTATAGACATTTTTTTATGATAAAGGTAGATAACCTTATAAGGAATCTTGTATAACATTTTAAAATCTTAGATTTAAAAAGAAAAATTTTTATGAATTCTTAACTCAAAATAAGTTGCTAAATTTTCGTGATTTTTCCATATTTTGTCAATTTTTGAACTTTAAATCGTTATAAAAAAAAATTGTGACAAAGGATTTTTAATATTTTTCATCTGCCTTTGAAACATTATACTAGGAGACTTTTATTACATTTTCAAGCTTTTTTAACCAATAAATACAATTTTATTGATATTTTTAGAAAAAAAAAACTAAATGAAAATGAAAATGTCCCTAAACAGTTCAAAATTAATCAAAATATTTTGAAAATGTTATCGTGTATAGAAAATGCAAATATAAACAACCAGTGAAAATTGTCATTTGTTTTAAAGTTACACAAAAAAACCAAATTCAATTTTGTGAAAAATCGATTTTGGGTAAAAATTCCTGTTTTTCCTTAATTATTCTTTTGTTTTTCTTGGTGCTTTTGAAAATTATTAGGAATTTTTAATGTTGACCTCCCCAATGCACCAACGATATTCACTTTCCAATCGAACAAGTTACTGAAGTGGAAAATCGAAGCATTATTTCGACTACTTATCGTGTACACAGACACAAAAAAAAAAAAATAAAGAAAAAAAACACACATCATTGTAAAATCAATACATTTATCGTTTCACTCAGAATCTAAAATGTAATACGAGGTTACATCAAGTTTTCCTTGCAAAAATAGTTAAAAAAAAGTTTAGTGGTATACACGGTGAATTCAAAAATATTTTCTGTAATTCCCAACATTTTAATCTATAATATGAAATTGGTTATTCAAATGGAGGATAACTATTAATCATTGCGGCAGGGACTTGACACTTTTAGCCATTGTGTAATAATTACCTTTACAAGTGATCCACTCGCCACCTACTGTACAGTGTATTTACACTGTACAGCAGTGAGCAGACTGTTTAGTGGAACTTTTTATAATATTATTATTTATTACATTTAGCGGGCCAAAAGTGGGCCTAGCCCATAGGTTGGAAACTGTTGGTATATACATAAATATAGACTAGCATAGCGATAAGTACGATAAAGAATAATTTTAGACCATTTTTATATATTATTTTACTTGATAAAGTGTGTATATTAGATATTAGATACATATTATTACAACATATTATTTTTCTATTTTCAGCGTAGTCGGATTTTAAAACGTTGGAAAAAGGTATTTCAATGATTAGGGTATTATAGGTACGTATACTATAGCATGTACTGTACTTATATTAATTATGTTGTATTATTGAGGTAGGTCGTAGGTATCAATGTAACATCAACTTTGTATAAGTAGGTTCTGTGATTATATTTACCTATTGTAAGTTTGAATTAATTTCCGTAAACATTTTAACAACTGAGAAACTCTCACTCGAATTTTATTTTGAACTAGGTATACTTCAACATTTTCAAAACAATTATTCAATAATTAGTTTATAATAAAAAGGTGGGTATTCATTTGAAAAACAGAAGTTTGTATCTTCACAAGACACTATTTAAGTAATACAAAAATATTAAAAAGTATAAAAACTTGAAATTATGGTCTATAAGTATATTCAAAAATTCCAAAAATCAGAATTTTGATACATTTATTATTAGAGGAATAACGAGGGTGAGCATGGTTGGTGGGTGAATTACTCTGTATATTTTACGTATAATTTGACGATGAAACAATGTATGTAGTTTGTAATAAACTGCAGTACCTACCTACCTATTCTATATTTCCACACGTCGTCTTATTATTAAAAAATATTTTGATAAACACATTACATAGATACTTGTCATAGAAATATAATACCTGCGTTATCTTATGTAGGTATAGGGTTATCTACTTCTATTATAAATATGCGTTCGATGCGTTTTGTGCATTCTGCATAGTGCACGGTGAATGCACTTTTGATCTCGGCGACCTACCAGGCCCTCATATTATGACGTATGCGTTTCCTGGTGTTTTATGTATCGGTATAGGCATGTACATTATATAACAATTTAACATATACCTATCCAAGTGTCCCAAGTACCTAACTTCCTACCTACCAACATAATATACCAAGCCAAGTTTTTGATATTTCTTATTATTGTGTTAAATAGTACTATTTAAAGAATATTAATTATACATACTAGGTTTATATTTGAATGTGATGGACGCGTTCATGTCTTGTAGAAATTCGCATGGTAGGTTGTCTAAAGCATCGGGACATGGATCCATAAACACATCGTATACTTCACATTGAGTATCTGAAAAAAAGAAAAGAAACAGTAAAACAGAAAGTAATAAAAAAAAAAACTGAGTAAAATCTGATAATATCAAAATGTATAAGTTTGTGAGTTATAAACAATTGTTTATAACTCACATATTGATGCAATATACTTGAATATACATTAATGCAATATACTCACTCCGGCACATGCGAAAGTTGTTCACTTGTTCGGCGTTCACTGCGCTTGCAGCAAGCATTAATCCTACTACAGCTAACAGGTACATCGCCATTGTGTCACGGAATCAGTACCTACCTAACGTACACTAAAGACTGGCACGAGAAAACTTTGATGACTGTGTATGTGGTTTGGTACAATTTATCGTACTGCGATAACCAGCGGTGAGGTTATCTTTTATATTATATAGAGAGCACAATTTTTTTTTCTCAGAGTGGAGGCTCATCCGATTTATTTGAATTTACATGTCACGAATGTATCTATGTATAAAGTGTATATACATTGTACTGGTTAGATATATCAAATTCAAACAATACGAAGCGTCAAGCGTGTTTATCGTTTAAATACTGTATGTATTGTATATACTTACATACCTAGTTATATATTATATTCACAAAAATAGTATACGCTGTACACAGATTAAATAGTTATTCAGTATTTATTATAATTTAAGTCGTAAAGTGCCTTGTTAGTTAGTCCTTTTTTTCAACCAGTTGAAGTTAAGTTACTTAAATAAAAAAAACTAACTAGGTTAGTTTCTGAAACTATCTACATAAGTTAGTTTTTTTATAGATTCAAAAATCTATATGTTGAAATGTAAATAATAAGTTATCTAATTTAAATTATTGATTATAACTGAAAAATTTAAATAAACACCTAGTAATTTGATAAAAATGTTCTAATTAGGTAAGTAATAATTTCAATTAATTGGAAATTAATGGGTATATCAAATATCACTTATTAGAACATTAAGGGTGAAACAAAAAAAAAAAATATATATAACAGTATGACAATTTAAAATATTAATTAAAATTAAAATATTCGTTTTGGAATGAAAAAAAAAATAATAATAACTAGTTAGTTTTTTTTCTAACAAGTTAGATTAGACTATTTCACACATTAAATTCAAATAGTTAAGTTACAAAGTTAATCTGAATTAAAACTAACCAGTTAAGTTTCTAACTAGTTAGTGCCCACCTTTGCTACCTATAGTCAATTTCCATTCAATAGCAGATGACAAAAGAATTATGGAAACGGAAAAATACAATAATAAATTGTAGATATCAGTTTAAACCATTTAATTTCATAAGTTGCAGAGATTTTGGAGTTTCAATTATTTCCAACTAACAATCATGTAGAGGTAAAGCATTATAAAGTGTTATCTAAAAAAAAATTACACTTAATCGTGATCACGTAATAGGGGTAGTAAAAGTCTGTCGAAAAGGCTTAAAAATGCATTCTTCGATTACCAGGTAATAACGGTTTATTTTTCACATATTAGAAATAGCCAATAGGTAGCTGATAGGTAGTTAGGTACTTAAAATGTTTTCGATATGGTCTCGAAAAGTAAAACTTTTCATCTTATCTATAAAGATAAATATTTAAAAGGCTGAAATTGTAATTATCTAGGTACATATTTGTTTAAGGATAGTGTTTTTCCTAAAATTGTTTTAGATGTAAATTATAGATTATAATTAGGGCCAACAATTGTATGCATTTGCATATTTTTATTGGTTGGTCAAAAAAATAGCTAGTTTATACCAAAATTTGTTTTTATAATCTAACGATGCAGTATACGAAATTTTATTTCGCATATTTTTGCATATTTTGGTATTTTCGGTATTTTTAGGGCATATTTTAGAATTTAGTATATTTTTGGAGCATATTTAAGATCTTTAAAACTCGGGAATTACAAAATATTAATTTGTTTCACTCATATACCTTATTATTGGTATTTCAGCTCATTTATGAAAAGAGGTAATCTAATCTTAATCGCTAATTATTAGGGTCAAAAACTATATGTACGTAGATCGGTAACAGTATCGCATAGAGATAAATATTATATTTTATTTTATCGCACCTATTACAGTCGTCAGTCGCTCTTATACTCGTGCGGTGCGTTATTACTTATTAAATCAACCGTTTTAAAATGCCGAAAGTGAGAACTTCCAACACTATAGTCGTATCAATAGTTACATCTCTGAATTTTTTTTTAGAGCATATGTTAAGGGCATATTTTGGTAATTTTTAGGGCATAACTGCATACAAATTTTATAGATTTTTAGGTCATATAATTGTTGGCCTTAGTTATAATTATATATTTTAAGAATATTAGGAGTCATCTAAAACAATTTAAAATGTATGTTATATAACAGGGTGTCCTTATCTATTTATGATTTTATCCACAGCACTTCTCCTAATTTCTTTTTATCTTCTCCTAATAGTATATCTCGGATCCACTCAACCATTGTCCATGGTACCTATATAAGAACATGTTTAGTTTATAGTTTTCATTGTATGTATTGATTCCATTTAGTTATGATTTTAAACATTAAAAAGTATATAGGTAGTACTGTAGTTTCTGAATACAAAGAAAACATTTATTATAACAAAATGTATGTTTTTCTCTTATATATAGGTACCTACTCAAAAACTAATTGATTGATTTTGACGAAAATCGCAGAGATCGTTTTTAAACAAATCAGAAAAGTTTAGAGAGTAGTTTGAACCACGGTTAAAAAATATAGAAAGTACTAAATCCAATCGGCGACTTACAATTATTCATTATTGTCCATCTATATGTTGAACTATTTCATAAATCTGATTAAACAGACTCCGATTTTCAGGTGAACTGAGGTACATTAACCGCCGAAATACACCTATATTTTAGTACTTTATTAGTAGGTACCCACTATATTTTAGTATTTTATATTTGTTAATTTTTCAGGATAAAGTCGGTCGTCGGGTTATACAGCTAGTATTATTTTTATAAACACCTATATTCTATGATCTATCCGATATCTTCAAAAATATAGAGTTGAATTTTTTTTTTTTTTCAATTTCATCGATCGGCTACTAGGCCATTAGTTTACATTATATTTATATATAATATATATATAAATATATAACAATTTTATTAAGCAGATTGCCAACCTTGAGGGTTGTCAAAAGACACAGTATACATATTCAATATTGATATACATAATATGATTATTACAAAATTATAAAATTATAGCAAAAAGTTATATATAAATATAAATACAAATATTATAAAAATGATAAAGTATCTACTAGGTAGAACTGATGAAGATGTAAAAAAAAAAGATAAAAAGAAAGTATTGAGATATATTACTGAAAATGTGCCAGAAATTGGTATAGTCTTACGAATATTAGTGATGGCTTATAATATTGAGTGTATCCTTCAGAATGGACAAACATATTATTTTCACTAGATCAGAAATGTTTAATCCGTGGGTCTTGAAAAAATTTCTCAGAAAACAATTTTTGGTTCCTCAAGCATCGAACCATGAACCCACGATGTTCCAGTTGTTAATGCTAATATGCTATATATTGGTTCTTTAGAGTTTAGTGTGGTCACCAACCCTCTTTTCCTCGTACACTGCTGTGTCCTGCAGGGGGTCATTTGTTTCCCAACGAATTGTTGGGTCTAATAGTTCGCAGTACATTGGTTATGTTTATATTAGGTTATACTATTGAATTTCCTTTAAGAATGATGTTGATTGTTGTTATTTGATTTGGAGGTCAGTAAACAGTAGTAGGTATTCTTACATACAATGTTTCATATGCCAAAAGCCATAGAGCATTGTTGTCACCCAACAGGGTACCAGGAAGTTGGGAAGTAGTTAAAATAAGAGCCTGTCGGTCTAAATTGATAGCTCTCCATAGTCCATAACAAAATGTTCAAATACAGTATACACTTATATTTAGGAAAATAATAAACAACATAAATACCTGAAATACATTTTCATATTAAATCCAGTCTCAACTAATAGCTAGAATTTTAAAAATATTGTTATTTTTGGTACCCACTTCTACTATTCTCAATATAATAAACAATTTATAAGAAAAAAAATCTTTTAAATTATAACAGGCGATTAATTCTCTCACATTTAAATCATTATAAATATCACACAAATATCGCACTATTTATATAAAAAAGTTTTTTTTTAAATGTACAAGACTCATTTAATAGACCAAAACAATTATAAAAACCAATAATTCCATTTTTTTTCTTATCCCAATTTTAATTTGGGTCTACACTGATTTTGGAAAACATACTAAGTACCTACCTACCAAAATAATTTTATGTTCCGAGCAATGAATGAAAATGAATTGATTTTACAATGTGTGTTCTTTTTTTATTTTTTTTTTAAATTGTTGTGTCTGTGTACACAATAAGTAGTCGAAATAATGCTTTGATTTTCAACTTCAGTATCTTGTTCGATGGGAAAGTGAATATTGTTGTTGCATTGAGGAGGTCAACATTTAAAATTCCCAGTCATTTTCAAAAGCTCCGTGAAAAACAAAAGAAAAATTAAGGAAACACTGGAATTTTTACTCAAAAACAATTTTGGTTTTTGGTGGAACTTGGTAAACCTGTAATATATCCATTTTCTATAATGATCAAATTTTCAAAATATTTTGATTTGTTTTAAATTGTTTAGGGACATTTTCAGTTTCCAATTTTATTAGTTTTTTTTCTATGAATGTCAATAAAACTTTATTTGTTGAGTAAAATTACTTGAAAAATTTAATACAAGGCTCCTTATAAGATTATCTAACTTTATCAAAAAAAAAAATGTCTGTAAGAAAGTCAAATTAAATTTTTATGAGCGTTGAAATTCAAATTTTTACAACATTGGATATTCACTCGATTTCTCATGTAGCGGTTTTCTAATTTTGTTTTAATTCAAAAACTAATGACTGTACATGAAAATTTCACTGAATGTTTATTTTATCAATTCTTACACTGGATAAAATTTTCAAAATATTTTAACTTGTTTTGAGCTGTTTACGGACATTTACAGTTTTTAATTTTTTTAGTTTTTTTTTTAATGGTCTCAGGTAGCAATTTTTGGTTCAAAAATATTATCATAACATTATACTAATATTATTCGTGATTATAATATTAGTATAACATTATTATTACAAAATGCTACCGGGTGTGGTTTTGGCCTTGATTGTTTTTGACAAAATTAATGAAAAAAATAGTTTCATTATTTGGATGTATTTTTTTGAATATAAAATAATTTT